TTAGTAATTTGTGGATATAATTAGAAAAAAAATACTGGAAGTGATTACTGCCCAGATGACTTATGCTAAGCCACAAGACAAGCCACAGTTTGTATTTAGCAGTGATGCTAGTCTTTCTTAGGACAGGGATGTAGCACTGAACTCGCTTCAGAACCTACTATAGGTGTGTGAGCTTCCACAAGGCATTTACAAATGTCCCTGTTAACAAGTGGGTGAGTCCATTGTGGAGAGAGTCAAGATGCTTCTGTCGTTGGCATAGAAGGGATCCGATGAACTCCATGATCTAAAGTAACAATAAAAGAAAAGTTTGGCTGACTGGGAACTTACAATCTAGAGATAAGGAGAAAAGTCTATGAAAGCAAAAGTGTTAAGAGATTAGGTAAATGTAACTCCTCCATCTACTAATTTCATGTAGGCACCTGCAATTCATTCAAACCTTTGAAAATAGCCTACAATTAATCATGCCAACCATGTAATTAACTGTTCTATGTTTACCTTTCTGGCAAACTTACAGTTACAGATATTTTCATCACCGTGAAAATGGCCAGAGGCTTATACACCAGTTTACAACTGAAGTTTTAACATCATGCCTCAAGGAAAATCTTAATGTTGCATGGGTAAGTTGAGGCTCTGTGAATGCTACGGTTTGATATAACCTAAGGTCATTCTAGTAAAGCCTTGTGGAGCACGCAGTCTGATTGTGGTAACCCTGTATACTGGTGTTTTCATGTTTAACATCCAGGCTGTCTAAAACTGTGGGTAGGCAAAACTTATCTACAACCATGAATCTATATCATCCCTTAAGTTAAAATTTAAGGCACCAGGAAAACTACCTAACATGTCAGGTTTTGATTTGGATGACATTTGCAATGTCTTTCTCTTAAGGATTAATTACTATTTAGGAAGAAATACTCTTCTTTGTTGAATGGTATTATAGCACTGTATGTGAAAATCTGAAAAATAGAAGGTTGGAAGGCAAGAAATCAAAATATAACAAATTTATCCCTCCAAGTTTGCCTCTGTCAGAAATCTGCTGTTTCTTTAGAACTTTAACATGCGATGCCTTGACACGAATACCACTAATGGGAGATCCAAACAATTCAGTAATGAATCCTACTGTGCAAGAAATGTATGTGATCCAGCATTCTTAGTATTTTAGTGACTGACAAGTTGACAGACAATTTAATGGAAAAGACACACAGAATGCATTTTATCATACCACACCACACATTTTATATTCTAACTGGTGATTGAAGCTATAGAAAATACTTCTCGAATACATTTTACAAGCAGTAGATTATGTACAAGAGACTATATTCCTGTGGCCCTCTACTCCAAGCATTTGTACAACTTTGATTCATCGAAGTTTCTATCAAAATTTGATACCATGTTTTATTTCATACTCAGTTATTGTACTTGCAAGAATATCATATTTGACAGAATATCAAGAGCACAGAATACAACACATGCTAGCTACAGCAACATTATTTAAAGCAGTGCTCTTCATTCTACAGCACTCTCAGAGACAACATTTATCAGCATCACTTCATTCAAGAAAAATAATACGCAGCTACCTCGTGGTTGAATAAGAAGCTGTTTTATAAAGCAAAAGTACTCAAAAGACCATCCTGATTGTGACTGCACAACCTCTGAGGATTTAGGTAAAAATCAAAGCAGCTCAAGGTTGTGAACAAAGGCTAAACAGTTTTATAAGCATTTTTACATCACCGAATAAATCTCTTAACTGTACCTTCAGCATTTCATAAATTGTAACTGCCTTACGTGATTTAAGCAATTAGTACATTAAAAAAATAAACACTTTCACATATTTCCAGGAAAGTGCAGAGATAAAAACAGTCTTAGTACCTTGACTTTTAAACTAGGTTTTAATTGTCAATGCTGATTGGAAGGAACCAAAGTCATCGAAGAAAGCAAATAAGACTGAGATTTTTTCTAGTTGTACTGTACCTAAAGTGAAACTTAAAGATGGTTCAGAGTAACTTCAACCAGAGGCAGAAGCAAAACCTACAGAACTTGAAGCCCTTAGTGTAGCACCAAGATAGTCTTGCATATACTTTAAACTTAACACTAACTTCCATGTTTTAATGACTCTAAAGTTATTCAGCCTGATGGAACTTCATCTGAAAATTACATGAGGTAAGCAGACAAGAAACCTGAGAAAAAGCAGTCTTCAAAAAGTGTTTTAATATTCTGTCAAATATGAGTTACCTTCAATAAATATTTATAAGTTCTTAAAGACAGAAAAACAGAGGTGAAAAAAGAGGACATTGTAAAAATGTAAATGCACTGCAGAAAAAATAAAACACAGCATACCTACCTTGTAGGACTACGCATTACCAAGGCAAATGTTAACTAAGTATCTGCCCTAATTAGATAACAATAAATAAATAAAAAAGTAGCATGAGAAGTTCCTCATTTGGAAAGCAGAGAAGTGGGAAATACCCAAAAAACTCAACTGCTACCAAAATGTTGATTTTTCTTTAGACCAATTAAATGCTCACCTTGTAGATTAAAAATGCTATTAAATTGTTTATTTTACACATCATGCCCACTTTCTATACACCAAGAGTCTGAATTAAAAATGTATTTAATAATAACAGTTCATTTTTCATATGGAATGAAACATTTTGCATAATCATACCCTAGGATTTGCAGAAATTTTGAATTAATTTCACAAGCAAGCCAGAAGAGAGAAACTTACTGAAACCACAGACACTGTGTTCAACACGAGTTCAAAACAGAGATGTACTACACACCAAGTCAATACCTAATGGCAGAATCAGAACTGACAAAGCTTTACCCACACAAGATTTTATACTGAATGAATGATATCACAACCTTTAACCAAAAGAGACAAAGTTGTTCAAATACAAAATGAGCTTCCTTGAAAATGTCTGAAGTGCAACTTTTTCTGGATTGCCTTTTGACCAATGAAAGACCATGATATCATTCAGGGACTGAGAGATTATGATATACAAAAGACTACTTTCATTTCTACCCCCAAATATTTCCATGCTTGTTAGCTATTCCTCTTAACTGGAAATGGGGAGATGGCACATCAGCACATTTAGCAGGAGTTTCTCTCACGGTTATGCTGACCACAAGAGCAGTACTGTTCCTTAGATGTATTACAATAACATGCTTTTATGCCACTGAAGTTTGTTTCACATGTGGTTTGCGAAGGAAAAAGATCTATTCAGCACATACTTTGGAATGGCACACATGATTTTGCAACATACCTTCTAGAACCAAAAAAAAACATTTAAAATTCTTAGAATCTGAAGGATCTGTTCTGTCAAATTACTCTGATTTTAGAAATAGATTATAAAAGTTAGACTACAAAAATATTTCATCTTCATATCAATGAATGGCTCAAAGATTTAAAGACTCTCCTTCTAACAATAAAGTTATATTTAAGGGGGGGAGTGAGCCTTTTGTATATCTTCAGGAGTCATGCAAGCTCCAAGGTATCTGGAGGTTGTACATCAAGAACTAAAAGTGAAAAGTCTTTTGGCTTTACAAACAACTCCTGATTAGTGAAGGCAATTAAAAAAAAATAATCATGAAAAGGAGAACAAAAACAGCAGCAAGGCTTGATTTTCTAAAGTGAAGTATGTACAAATCAAGAGAAATTACAATAGATACAATACAAGAACTTGTAGTAAGCCAAACTAAATTTTAACAGAAATAATTTAAAAACTGTTTTTCCCCCTTTCCATCCCAAAAGAAAACACTCAAAATCAAACAAGAAACTAATATTTTAGGATGAAAAAAGTACAGTAAAGAGTTACATTTCCTACTTAGATAAGCAAAACCTGCAGCTGGTTTGCTAGACATCTATTGCTGCAGGCTCATCAGGTTCCAGTTTATAGGAGAATCGTCTGCAGCAAAGGCTACTGAGAGAAATGCCACACCTGTTGACCCGGGTTGGACTACATCTTCCCATTAGTCGTTCCAGCATTCTTCTAACAGATGTGCATGCTGTTTCCCCATCTGAGAAGCAGCACATGGAGTCCAAGCAGTTGATACCTGAACCTGCCTCAGTAAGCTGGAAAGAGGGAAAAAAGAAAAAAAATTTAAAAAAATCAGTACTTGCAGATTTCAGCAATTAAGATGTTATCAAAAAAACACTTAGCAAAAGCAGGTTTTCTTGAGTGTTGAGTATTTTTCAATTTTACAGGGATCAATAATGTTACCATTTCCCTTCCTAAAATCTGATCTTCCCAAGGGTTGAATACAGCCCTGGTAAGCATACAGAAATCGTTTAGCACCATCTCTGCTTAATTCTGGAAATAAACCAGTTAGCAATTCTCTGCGTTACAGCTCTAATGAATCTCTGGAGCACAGTGTCATGCAGTTTAAGCTGTGATGCTTTGATTAACCTCAGCGGAGCTACAACAATTTATACAAGCTGCAGGTCTGCCCTATTTGAAGGGAAATCTATCAAAAGAAAGTTTCAGACCACGGCTGCAGAATACAATGCAGCAATCTGATTGTAAGTAGTATTTTTTTCCTCAGGAAATGCAGAATGCAACTTCCTATAATAATTTACATTTTATCACTACCATAGATACCTGTGGCTTAATGGAGAACAAAAGCACATTCCTGATTTTGCAAATATTTTTTTTTTAAATGCAAACAAGGATGATGTTAGAAAGGTTCAGTCATGTTCATGACAGCATGAAGAATAATTCAACATTAGCGTAATAAACTTCTATTGTTCATTCTTTGTAGGTGAGAAAAAGACCTAAATAAAATGAAAGTAGTAATACAGAGATGTACGGTTGGAGTTAAGTGCCATCTATCACTGTGCTCCTCTATTTAACTCCCGCACACTAGTCAACTGCAACATAACTAAACCTAACTGAAAACTAGTACTGCTGGAGAGAGAATATCCAAAACTGACTTCAGCATCCTTTCCAAATGGAAACTAAGAATGTGGAGTGTGAGGATGCTTTTTATTTAATTTAAACGTCTCCATGGCAGCATCTTGTCAAACAAATGCTGAACACACAGGCTCAATCTGAGCATCTATTATCCTCAGCTCAATCTCAGACACCAGTGAATGAAGAAACCTAGGTGGAGGCATCTTAAGCCTATGATGGGACACAGCTCACTTAAGAGCCTTCCCCCAGCTTTTCACCACATGAATGTCACTGGCTGTCATCCAAAGACTTCTGTTTCCAACCTCTTTTTCTTTCATGACATCTCCACTTGCCCAACACTGCATGGGAAGCACAGAACCTCAGTGTTTCCTATGGGAACAATTTACTGTGAGTGGACACATTCCTTCCTAATTCCCCCAAACAGTCAACTGGACAAATTACTGCTTTGTAACAGAACAAGTCCTATACTACAAAGAAGGAGCACATAACAGAAACAAGAGCCATTTGGAAGTCCAAGAGAAAAATCCCAACTGGTAGAACAGGAAGGGAGCACACAGGCAGAAATAGTATTTCCATGGACCTTTTACTTTCCCTGCCCCTTCCTCAACTCTGTTCTGCATTCCCCATGGTCCCTCCAGATATTCCCATCACACTGCTTAACATGCTGCTTACAGGACTGTCAGATAAAACTGGATGAACTTACAGGAAGCATACAACCGGAAACCCTTGATTTGGTTGCTGCACCTCAGAAGCCATGAATGAGTGCAGGCAGAACACACACTTCTGACTAACTCACGCTCATTTTGGAGGTCTTCTGGACACAAAAGGAGCATTTACTACTACAGTGAACTTCTGTAAAAATCTGAGACATTGGAATGTTTCTGAGTGGAAACATTGCACTAAGAGGTCTAAAAAGGGTTTTGGTTAAAACAAAATACACCTCCAACAGAACTTCGATCCCTGAACACCTTCATTTGATGACCACCACTTCTGGTCACAATTGTACTGTCAGGAAAATAGCATAATTAGGAATAGCAAAACTTGTAGCACTGCAATACTAGCCAATATGACCTTTACAGCCACTTCGTACTGCACTCAACAGTGTATCAGACAAGAAATTACACAGGGTAGAAGGAATTCCTATGAGGAAGTCAGAAAACAAGCTCCCTGCTGCATATGCAGTGATCATGGTTGCGCTCCCAGCAATACAAAACAAACTTTCCGCATTCTTACACTTGGAATTTCAAGAAGAGTATTTAGTCCATCCATTATTTGAAGACTACCAAGTAATACATTTAGAGTTGCTGGTAAAGGTCATAATACTGTGAATGTATGTAGGATCAGATGGACCAGACACTTCCCCAACTCCCCTAGAATTTGCTGACCTGAGAACTAGCACTCCTGGATGTTATTCAAAGACGGCAGAAAGAGGAACCAAGAGTAACCCAAACTATCTTCCAGTGAATGAAACCTCAGCTCTGGATTTTGGAGGTCTGGTGTCTCTTCTAGTATTAACTTTGTTCTCCCCAAGTTATATACTCATAAAAATCTAGGATCATGCTTGAACGACAATTTATGGAAAAGCAGTTATTATTAACCTTTTTTAAATGGGCCATTTTAAAGAGCTTACATAAGTCTGGAAACAACATTTATGCTTTATCAAACCCACAATTAAGTGTAATATAACACTGGGACAGCATTAAGGACAACATAAAAATAAGTTCTATTTTATGTATAGATACATTGTGTCTCACTCCCTGGTGAACATGGATTTTTACATTCATATCCACTACCTGGAAGGAAGGTACTTATATTATCTTAGAGTCCCTTTTCTCATTTTTCTCTCTGTGGCAGACAGTCATGATCATAGTTTTATATCAAAGTAAGGCAGTAGGAGCCTAATGGTCTCTGAAGATCTGAAACAAACCCTCAAAAAACAAAAAGCAGGAGATACAGTGCTTTAAAATAGTAACTATAGAGAAATTGTATTAGCAATATTTGGGCTGCAAATAAAGTATTTTCATAAGGCAAGATCCAGGATCACAATAAACATCACACTTTATATGACAATGGCCCATTTCATGTAATAACTCAAAAAGCAACTGAAGTGCAGAATTAAAGAATGATTCAGCTCAATAAGGAGGGAAAAAAAATAAAAAAAAAAATCAAACCCACACACTATGATGCAAATTTTCTTGTGGATACCAAAAATATGGGTACTTTGGAGATGGCTCCATGACTGTCTATATATGATATGAATAAATATATATACACACACGTTAGGGTAGAGCGGGAGTACTACCTAGTGAATGTAAGTACTGTCGGGTAGGCTAGATGGATCTAGCAGTTGCCTATTGTCCTCCCCTCTGTGCCTGCTTTCAGCAAAGTCACATGCTGAGCTGACTGAACCCTTATCTTCTTCCATCTAGAAGGACAGAAAAGCAACAAGTCTTATAAAGCTCCATGCTTGCATTGCTTTAAAACAGTTACCATTTTTACATGAACTTTCATTTTACAGATCTGTTCTTGAGAGAAAAGGCATATTCACAAGGTAAAAAAGCAATTTTCTTAAGTTAATCAGTGGATCAAACACAGTTTATCAGTGCACAAGTATTAGAAGTGCTCGGTCTTTCTGCGCACCATAGACTACAAAAGGGGAGAACTCAACAAATCTGAAATCTATTTCAGTATTTCAGATTTTGGTTTCAGATTTTTCAGTTTTGCTAGTTTTTCCCCCTTCTAATAGAAAGAGCAATTTCAGTTTGTTTGTCTTATTACAGGGTATTCTGCATGCCACGAAACAGACATTTCAACTAAACATTTAATCACACTGAAATATACAGTTGGGACTGTGGTGAACAGGGAACATATTTAACCCTGTACATCAAGCTAAGGACACCGCAGCATATTTTCCTGAGCCCAGGTCCTAGCCACATGGATATTTCAGAAAATATATGATGGTTATTACTATTCCACAATTAAATTAAAACTTGCTCCCAACTGTAAAGCTCATTTTCTTTCACCCTTAACATAATGTATATTAAAATCCCAAACAATTAGATTTAGAATTTTAAAAGAAAATATAAGAATGTTGACATTTAACAACTTCACTGGCACTTACATTTCCAACATTCTTCTACTCCTCATCTCTTTGAATCAAATACACCTTAAAATGCCAAACTATTTCACTATTTCAAAGTCATCAGACAAAAGTATCTGCAGGTAGGCAAATATGTGCACTTTTGTGACTGATGATAAATACAACATAGTCTATTCTTCTATCTTTTTTTCCCTCTTGCTGCAGTAGTCTACGGACTAGCTAACAGATCAGCACCACACTATGCTAACACAATATACAACCCTGTAAAGGAAGATTACCCTTGTTCAAAGTTTAACATATTGAGATGTCCTGGTATATTCCACTAGTGCAAATGCATGTTTGCACTTGTACAGTCCTCTTGAAAACTTTATGTTCCTTACAGAAAACAGATGCTGTGAAGGGAACAGAAACCTGTCCTTGACTTCTGTACAGCTTTCATATCTAGATCAGGTATTGAGGTTATTAGGAGGGGAATCCTATGAAGCAGTAACCAGAGGGAAAAATACAGACAAGTAATGAAGGCTGTAAAGCCAGGGCCAGGAGTCTGGAGTTCTGGAGACAGTTAAAGAAAGCAGAGAACAGAGACAAAAGGAAAACAAGCCAACAATGAACTCATGGGCCTGCACATGGCGAAAAGAACAGGGTCTTGGCTGTGCTAAGGCAAATGCTACGGTTTGAGAGTCTCAGATAGAATGTTATGCACTGACAGCCTTCTCTGTAAATAAAAACCTTTGTGTTTTACGTTTCCCTAGCATTGTGTACAGTTGTAACACATTGTCCAAACCTGAAAACTCTGTGAACACAGTTAATCCCATCTGTAAGTAGAATTAAAACATCTGCCCTAGCAACACTTAGCACATGGGGCTTGAGATTTCTGACAGTTCTTATAAAGCACAGAGACACATAAACGTACATATACACACAAAACTTTGTTTACAAAGAAGAAACTGAAATGAGATACAATGGGGCCCAGTTAGTATCTTAAGATACATATTTCACATGTTTCAAGAATAGGACACGCAGCTTCAAAGGAAGGAAGGAGCACTGAAGCAGTCTCCAATT